AACAGCACAATGTATGCAGTAGTAGTAGTAGTCTGACATTTGTCGCAAAACTTGCCAATGCTAAAAGAGAATCATTCCTCCTCAACCTGTACATGCACACTTTACATATATGGGAGATATGTAAGTAATCGTTTTGCAGGACCCTTATATTCATACAAGTTAAAAATCTAATTAAAATCATTAGTTCGTCCATCATGACTTGACAATGACCTTTAACATTAACATCCAAGGAGGAAGAGAAGTTATAGTCCTTGCTGACCAGCATCTGTGGTGTAGCAGTTTGGCGCTTCACTGTTGCATTGCAAGCAGGAGATTGATTCCCAAGTAGGGAGAAAATTTATATTGAGTATCTTTGTCCTTATACTGAGACATTGTATCCCTCTCAGCCCAGGTAGGGTTGGAAGCCTGACTCCTAAATGATCTAAATTGTGCCGATGGGGGTGTAACAAACACCTACTTAATAAAAAAAAAAACTTGCTACCTGGCACGGTAAAGAGAAAAATAAAAGAAACAATAGATCTAGCAAGAAACTAGGAATGATTACAAACTCTCCAACTCAACACTTTCCCCGTCCTTATGCGGTGTGCTTATCTGCACATGCCCACCCCACTTGTGAATTGTTTGTGAATCAGGGAAAGAAAACAAGTAGGATCAACAAGTGGCTCCCTCCAACCACCGATAATAGGGACAGCGAATGAGACCAACCAGTGACGCTTTCCATCCACCGACTTGAAAAGCATTTTAGTCAGTGGTGCAATATCACCAAGAACAGATGCGAGCAACAGTAACAACATTGAGTGAAAAGGGACAAACTTTGCAGACTGAGTTTTAGTTTAACCCTATCCGTAGGTCATGTTTTGCTATCGAATCCATATAATGTGGGGAACTCTGTGCCACCACTTTCAAAGAGGAAATTTACTCGTTAATCCAATCTGTACGGTTTGCATAGCATAGCAGTCTGTCAAAATGATTTTTTTTAGAAAAACTGAAAATTTCAAAGAGATCTTCGTAATAGAAGTATTCTAAAATGTGAAGAATACAACCCCAGGGCATACGGATAGGGTTAAGTAAGAGCTTTAGTTTTGTGGCACTTGCAACACAATTATGTCGTACAAGTGCCGAAGATTAGATGTTATAATTTTACAAGAGAGTACAAATTACAAAAACTCAAAAAAGAAGGAGAGATAGATTGATACATATGTTTTGATAGGAAAGGAGCAAACCCAATCATAGCATTTGCAGACTGACATCTCGCACAAACAAAACGTAGAAAAAAGGAAATGTATAAATACTTCATCTTTATTTCATTCCATCTGTATTGGAAAAAACATGTCAACATAACACGTTACAAAAATATCAACAACATGGTCACTGGTGTTCATCATTACCAGTCAGTATAAGAATGGGAAAAATGTTTAAAGAAAAAAAAAAGTGCCACAAGAAAGTAAGAAAAACTTCATGATGACAGTAAGACTAAGAAACAAATTATTTTCAACTGTTACTTTTACGGAACTGGCTAAAAATAACAGACTTCACTATCGGTACCTGCTACAGAGGATATGAACAACGCACCTACTTTATACATCAAATGAAACAACTGTAATGACAAGATCTTAAATGAACTCCATATGGTATGGTACTTGAACCGAGGATTGAAACATCTTTGTGAAATCTTCACTACCTTCAAAATCAAACAAATTCAGCAGCTACAAAAAACATCTCCACCTCAACATTTAAAAGTAGGCTAATTTAAGTAATTTCTTCTATGTTTGCCAACCTTAGGCCTCAGGAATTAAATTGCAAACAGACTAATCACAGTAATTCACTTGTCATGATTAACGTAGTCAAACACACCCTGAAAACCTAATTTATGCTATTCAAAAAATAAGAACCCGTAAATCATGTGACTGCAAGTCTACCAGAGATTATGGTTGGAGTCTTTCCATTCAGAACTCTGTTCGACTTAATGATAAACACCCTCAATACCCAGATCATTTATGAAACTTGTATCACTACCAGCTTGAACAACCTAACCCCTGCTATTATTGAGAAAACTTTCATCATTCAAGTGGACGCATGATAATGATATGAATTTTGATCACCACACATACATTATAATACATACACCTATTATAATTTTTATTGCCGTCTTGTCTTGCAAAAGATGAGGACTATAATCGAGCACCGTGCGTTTAGGCGGAGACTACTGTACCAGTATTGAAACTGAAACAACTAATAGTGGCGCAGGGGAGTGGAGAGAGGGAGCCGCTGACCTTAGTCACCCACCCTTCGAGCCTGTCAAGCAGCCTGGCCTCCAAGTTGAGATGCGAGGCCGAGCGGCACCATTTGACTTTCTCAAGCTTTGTGCTTGTGGGTATGACACATGTAGCTCTGTAGAAACAAACTGCTATGCCACACTGTGTCAGGTCGACTAGGCCATCAAGGGGCTGCTTTGAGACCTGGACAGACACTGGAGTAAACAAGATGTGGGCCTTTTTTGGCCGTATCACTGGAATGGACCTTCTGCCAATTTCTGATATTCAGGAATACTGGTGCGCTGATGTATATCAACAATAATGAAAGCTTTGTTCCAAGGGGAGAGGTCGGCCACAACTCCTTGTTCAAAATTAGCCACTTCCTGAACAGCCTAGCAAAGACCTCCGACAATTACTATCCGACCGCCAACGTTGCTATTGACGAAGCCATGTTCGCATGGAGAGGCAATCTCAGCTTCCATGTGTACAACACAGACAAGCCGGACAAATTTGGAGCCAAGATCTTCCGCCTGCGCGACTCCAGCAACACCTACGGCTGCAAGTGTGAGGTGTACGCTGGAAAGAAGAAAGCCTCTTCCTATATTTCCAAGGGAGCAGTTTACAACATTATCATGAGGCTGCAGTCTCCCTATCTGGGGTGCAGACAACGAGAACATCGATAATTTCTACATTGCCCGAGTCCTTCTGGCTCTACTTATCCTCAAGACAACAGCATGCAGCACTGTCACGCCCAACAGGAAGGGACGGTTGAAGCAGATGGAAGGGAAGAAGGTGGTGAAGAAGTTTATGGGAGCTGTCGACAGGGCCGACCAGATGGTCCAGCACAACTCTTTTAACCCTATCCTGCCTAATGAGATGGAATGCAGTATTAGCGTATCTGCCCAATCAGATGGAATGCCATAGCACGAGTACCTGTTTATGCGACAGAATGAGGTATGAATCATCATTGTGTGTACTAACGTGATCTTAACTAAAACCTGTTGGCAGTATGCTTTGGGTTCTCACTGAAAAGAAACAGGAATGGTTGCTCTTCAATATAAAGAAAACAAGGAAAGCCTAGCCCCCCAACTTTTTTGTCAAGAAAGTAAAGAAATCGTAACACGTACGCCTTGTTTGGTTTACATTTGTGAGCCTGCTCTCAAGGTTCCTGCCATGAACTCCCCATCAAATTCCAGATTACAAGGTTTCAAGGAGAAAATTTTAAAATTCAAGGAGATTTGGGAAAAGAAATTCATGCAGTTTTTGAAATGTTTATGTCTTCTCCGGTGAAATTCAAGTAGATTTTTCTTTGAATTCAAGGAGGCTGCAAGAACCCTGCAGGTCAATGTCCTCTCCACAAACTGCAATCCAGAAATGACATCTGTTCAGAGGGGAACAAAAGCTGGCCCTGCCGAAGTCCGGATTCCAGTCCTTTTTCTGACTTACAACTCTGGGATGTTCAGTGTTGACCTCCACGATCAACATCTGTCATACTATCTGGTTGAGCGCCCTGGAGTTAAGTGGTGGCACCACATAATCTGGTATTTAGTGTGTGATTGGCTCCCTGAGCGAGCGGTAGTTTACATTGATTACAATGCAAGGCTGCTAGTAGGCCTACTTACTGATTATCTCGGGTAGTGATTGGATTTATCTTGTGTAACTATAATTAATTTATTTTAGGAGAGAGAGAGAGAGAGAGAGAGAGAGAGAGAGAGAGAGAGAGAGAGAGAGAGAGAGTATTTAATGAATAAATGTTAGACCTAGATTCTAGATTTTGTTGTGCACCCAGCCAAGAGTGTGCAGTTCGGTCTAGAGTTAGATTCTAGATCTAGATCTAGACCTAGAATCTAGATCGAGATCTAGATCTAGATTCACTCCCACAATGGCCGTCATGTAAACAAACGGGACCACAACTGTACAGGAGTGCCGAAACCGTGCACCGAAAAAGAAGCCGTTTGAAACTAGTAGACTCCAGGCCTACAGAAGCAAGTAGGCCTACTGTTGATAATTATGATAGTAGACCCGTGAATCAAGTTGCATGATAGGCCTAGTGTGTCTCCGCCAATTCACAGGCGAGTAGTCAAGAGTCGCTCTTCTGTCATTCGCCCACCAGGCCACCACTAGATTTAGATCATCTACTTTCCGAACTGCACACTCTTGGCTGGGTGCACAACAAAATCTACATCTAGATTCTAGATCTAGATACGTTTATTCATTAAACACTCTCTCTCTGGGCTAAAATAAATAAATTATAGTAACACTAGATCGACACACCGCCCGAGATGATCAGTAGCCTTGCATTGTAACCAATGTAAACTACCGCTCGCTCAGCGAGCCAATCACAATCCAACATTTTTGGGGTCCACCTAGACACCATGACTACGTAGACCCCAATCGGGGAGTACGTAGACACTTCTTTATTAGAATAACTTCCTGGGAAGTTCTGCCTATTTCTGGGTTTTGTTTTGAATGTCGGGCTGCCGGAGTCGACCAAAGGCTAACGCGATGCTCATTCCGATATGAATTAAAAATAGCTCGTGATTTTAGAGATTCTGAATCCATCAATGAACTCTGATTCATATGATGAAGTTCAAAATAATGGTAGTGTGATGGCAGTATGAGATGAGAAAAAGAGACAGATCATCTGTCACTACTGTCAGCAGTGGGCTAAGCTAGCGCTAATACTAGTACGATGACTAATGATTCAAGCATCTAGCCAAAGTCATCATAAACTTATCAATTTAGTTTTCTTTGCTTTGTTATAAATTTCTGTGTGCATTTTAGAACATAAACAGCCTCACTCTCACAAAAACAACAAAATATTGTACTGACTAGTTTGTCGTTTTTTTGAAAAGCTATAGCCATGAACAAAACAATATCGAGTCAAAATTCTTTCTGTTCTGTAAAGCTCAATATTTCTTACTGAAACTGGCCAATTTTCATAAATTTTTATCTAACATAAATAGGTACAGAGAAACCGGATTTTGAAAAAGGTTAAAAAAAAAAGCTGGCAGGCAGCGACTTGGTCTGAGCAAAGGTGCCGGCAGCGAGTGAGTTACATGGGGGGGAAAAAGCATCAGTTCAAATGACAAAAATTTGCCCTTCTAGCAAAACTTTAAAATGTAGGCAGAAACTAGAAAATATCAGCAAACAATTAGTCGAATGAGAATTCTTCTATAATTACTTATGGGAAAATCCTGACGTGTAAGAAACTATCAGGCCTATATATTCAATTTTACACAGATGGGTCTGCACCACCTGCCATTGAGGTGGGGGTGGGTTACTCCAAATAACTTTCACTCACAAACTATTTACACTTTCAAACTTGCCTCTCTCATTTCAGATTAGAAAAGCATGCACACTCACACAATCAACCAACCACAATATATACAAAATGAACAAATATACAAGTGTCAATGTTTCCGAAAACCTTTCAGAATTGGATAGATGTTCTCAAAAGCTTCGTAGATTTCGGTCCTCACTTTGGCACCTGCATAAAAGTATCAAACAAAAAGGTTAATTATTAGAAAAATATTTTTAAAAATCAAACAAAACAATGGCCTTTGAAAACTTGCTTCAAGATAATAAAACAAGAATTTGCATTGAGTTCTAAAAGCAACCCATTTCTTTGTATTTAGTCTTCTTGTATTAAATGCATGTTTAACCCTGGTAGCACAGTCTTACCGGAAGTAACCTATCACCAAAACCGATCGGTTGTAAACCTGGGGGTCTGGCATGGGTATCAGTTGAGCTATATATATACATGTGCTACTGAAAATGACAATTTACAGCTTAACAGATAATAAAAGTAATATAAAACCATATCCTTTCTCAAAGCTGACATAATAAGCCATTCAAAAATGAAAGCGATCAAACAATTACAAATACAAACAAGGTACAAAATGCAATAAAGTTGACAAATAGCAAGGTAGTACAGCGGAACAAGTAATAACACAATGCATGTAGTCGTTCACCTGCATACCAGAGGGGGCCCATCACCCTGCAGGCAACTTCATTGAACCTGAATTTGCTTTAAATTTACAACTTCATTATACGCAAGATATTGTTGATTTTAATAAACGAAAAAACTGGGAATCCTCCTTTCACTGAATCCCAGCTTCACTGTAGAGTGTGATTAATTCAGGACGGCCCCCCAGAAAATTCGGAACAGTTGGCAAGCCTGTCAAAAGTCTTAATTTGTATCTCTTCTCATCCTATAGCAATAATGAACTCACCTGTGAGCACGACCTTGCCCGAGACAAAGATAAGTAGAACAATTCTCGGCTTTACCATCCGATATATAAGGCCTGGGAAAAGCTCAGGTTCATAGCTGAAAAAAAAAAGCCACTGCAATGTCCATTCAGTAAGAAGAAAAAAGAGAGGGACAAAATCTGTTTATAGACAATAAGTGTGAACACATCTTGAAAGTTTAGCTATATTACATCTACATACTGATGTCAAATTTACCACACATCTTCTCTCTCACGATGTGAAGACTTTTACACTGGCGTATATGGTGTAAATTTAAGGCACTTCGTGCTTGCATGCAAAAGATGAGTTTGACTCTACAGGGGGGAGGGGTGGGTGGGGTATTTATTCTTAGGAAGTCCGAGAACATACACAACTATTGGTCTCTTCCATATTTCTCCCAATAAAATTTATGAGCACCTTCATTTTCCAGTGGGTTATGCAACTGTACATCATGATCCATTACCCTGCATGACCACTTTGCCCTAGATCCCATAATATATCTATTTGAGCAAGTATAGTGGGGCAAGTGTGTGTGCATACGTCTGCTAGTGTTTGTGTGCCTACCAAAAAAATTCACTCATTTTAAAATGCATAGCGTCTGTACTGATGCTATTTTTGTTCATCCAACAAAATTTTATCTGAAAGTACCTCTTTAGACAGTAAGTCAAAATGATCCAGGAATCCATGCATCCATCATATAACCTAAACATTTTCACTTTTCAAACTGGCTTGTACACAAATGAAATATTTCCTGATTAAATTGATTTGAATTAAGTTACTTCTAAACAAGCAGGTAATCAGAAGATAAAATTTTAGCAAATGATTGAATAAACATGGTGGACTGTATTTTATCCCTTTTCAACCATTGGGGATTTTAAAAAAAAGAAGTCAGTCTGACCTGTCTGCTTTACCCCAAACTTATTGCCAAAACCGGAGGTCTTGCCTCCTGAATTAAAAAAATCCCTTGACTGATAATATTATGTTATTAAGATATCCAACAACAGATGGAGGACACATGCCCAAACAGATATGATCCAACAAAGGGAGCTAACAGCTCTAAGCCTACAGCAGACTCACTCCCTGTCAAAGCTACAGCTTACCTGGAGAACTGAGCGTGTGTTAAAACCAGGCCCTCAAGTCGGATCGGGAATCGCACATCACAGCTTCCGACCATGTTCTGTATTTTAAAGTCAAGAAACTTCGCCTGTAAAACAATGACGGTTAAAAAAAAGAAGTTCACTTTCATACCACAGCCTTGTTCAATTGGCGTACTATAACAGTGCACGTTGTCACTATTCATCAAAACAAAGGAGGGTTCATGCATAGGACAAATAACTGAATCACTTAAAAAAAATAAATATCTGCAAGTCTTGTGTTTAACGGTGCATGCAAATGCATGAGGTCATATGAGCGAGTGGGACACATTGAACAGTTTCAGTTGGTAGGAAATTTTGAATCACCAGGGATCTTCAAGGTACGCAACTTGCACATGGGACCTCCGAGATTTTTCGCCCTTATCCAAGAAAGCTAGGTGTTAGATCTTACCCGTCATAAGATCAGGGGTGTAGCTGAAAGACAGCAGTAACAAGGAGCAGTAGAAAGGCAGCAGAAAAAGTCAGGAGCCTAGAGGAGGGGGCAAAGGAGGTGAGGGGGTGGGGGCAGAAAGTGGAGACGAAAACAGATGATAGAACATTGTTAGAGAGCAGGAAACGAAATGAAAGGAGAACATTTTAGAGAAGAAAATTTTCCGTCAATATCAGATTCGAACCCGAGACCTATTGAATGAGAAGTAAACATCATAGCCTAGACCTGCATGTGTGCCTCAACCAGATTGAAAATGTTGCACCCACCACACAAACCTGCCCCCCCCCCCAGTCCATTCCCCTCAGAAGAGCTTCTGTGGGTGTCATAAAATAGCAGCACTTGTAGAGTTAGATCTAGATCTACACGATAGGGGCATCAGCCCCCCAAAAAAGAACCAGCAATGGCCCTTCAGAAATGTAAAAAAGCCAGCAAAAGTTAAAAAAAACCAACAACAACAACAACAAAAAACCCAAAATTGGTTTTATACAATAACGCAATAGAATTGGAATATGAATCCTCCATATAGCAATCTAGATAAATCTAGACCAGGTAGAACAAGTGAATAGGAATAGATCTAGATCTTGAACGAAATCCGCATCCCAACAGAGTTAGAGGGAGTCAGCTGAGTCTAATAATTTACACACCTGATGAAATGCACTTTTACCAACATTAACATAACAGGACAACCAAAACCTCCCTCTGAGCGGTTGATAAAGAAACAACAAATTTACATACCGGAAATCCTAGCTTTTGAACAATCCTGGCATATTTTCTGGCTGCAAGTTTTGCACTCTCCTCACTGAAAAGAAAAATAAATGTTACCCCATATCCATCTCAGGGAGGCAATTAGTCTAAAAACCTGTACGTCCCTCTTTTAGCACAATCAATCAAAAGCCTAAGCCGGAAACGGACCTGCAGGAACACAAAAACAACTGGCTTCAAATGGATAAAACTTTCACATGGCAGTCTTATAGATAAAACTTTTTTTCACGCAGCAGGCTTAATGATAAAACTTTCACACAGCAGAGGCTTATAGATAAGGAAGTGATTATTCACACCGGGTGTGCGCATAAGATTTCATTTTATTCACACCGGGTGTGCGCATAAGAAATAATTTTATTTGCACAGGGTCGAGCCTACATTGATTTTGGACCTCGTTTGTCACACCCGGGTATCCCACCTTTTGGCAAAGGCTTTAATTTATGTTAAAACAACTGGACACTAGACCTAGTATAACTTGTTTCAGATTTAGGGTTAAAGTAAGCATGCACTCTCTCCTCTCTCTCTCTCTAGCACAAGGAAAACAGAAAAAAAAAAGAAAGAGAGATTTGAGCCATTATCATTGACACAATATACAACTTGAATTCAAATTTGAGTTGGGGGGGGGGGGGGGGGGTTGTATCGCATTGCACAATTAAGATCTAGATCTATGCCATGATCTTTGTCCCTACGCGAAAGAGGATGAAAAAAAGGAAAAATGAGGAAATGCTTGATCTAGATAATTTCCATCCTTCTTTTGAAACGCCCTGTGTCAATAATATTTTGTAGTATTCACACACCCTGTGCGAATATAATTTCATAGTATTCACACACCCTATGCGAATAACATTTCATAGTATTCACACACCCTGTGCGAATAAAATTTCACAATATTCACACAGTATTCACACACTCTGTGCGAATAAAATTTCATAGTATTTGCGCACCCTGTGCGAATACAATTCCATAGTATTCACACACCCTGTGCAAATAACAACAGCCTATTTATAAAACTTTTTCACACATCTCTAATGAAAAAAGTAACGAAAAAACTATTACAACACATTTGTTTGTTTGTGTAAAGAGAAGTACATCAACACAATAATGGTCATTTAGTGCTGGGAAAAAATAAGAGACAGAAAAAACAGAGGGAAAGTAAAGAAATATGATCTACAACTAGGTACCAGAAATTAAATTTTCAAAGTAGCTGTATGTCAAATTTATCTGTTCCATTTGAAAGGCCTATACCCACTGAGCATTTTGGTACCATTATTTAACCTCTCAGTCAATTTTAAAGAAAATAGTAGTTGTTTAAAATGTGATTAAATTTGTTAAAGTCAGTCACTGGTTGCAACCATATGTTTGACAGACAATAAAAGAGTATCAAGTGCACTAAACATCTCCACATTAACAGAGTACAATCACTATAACAAATATATGGAGCCTAATTTTTTTCAAGACTGTGAGATCATTACAAATCAGTATTTTATCACTTCAAACACGATGATCTGTCGTTATTTCGACAAAAACACCGAGCGTTGACCCGGCCGGCGCTGCACCGGCCCCCGCGGCGAGCTATACTGTAGTTAACTGATATGTACCCCGCGTGCTGGGTCACATACTTTCCGAGTCTCGCGGAAGGATTGATGTAAAATAATTCCAAATAAATTACTTTATTCTAATAGAACATAAACTGATCTTTTCATTAATACCTTTTTTAAGCCAGTATTTTACACATTTGGTGTAAAAAGTGATCTTTAAACATTTTGACAGCATTTTTAAAAGCTTTCTATTTAAACGCCAAAGGCCAAATAAATATCACGGGAAAGCCCGTTTAGAGCTCTACAGTTCTCCGCCAATGAAAAGACGGTATTTAATTATTTAATCATCGCTCGTTCCGCGAAGCATTTGAATGCACACGTGTCAATTTTTGAACTGGCCGACCACGCATTCCGACCGCGAGGGGCTTCGCTTTCGTCGGCGATTCTCCAGCTCCTAATAATCGGAAATATAAACAACTTACACCATTGTAACGAGGAAAAGCTGAACTTTTACAAGGTGTAGGGCATTTGGTGTTTTATAGCGAAAGAGCAAAGAAACAGCGATTGGAATTACCCCGATTTCACGCGGTCCGAAGGCCGCGAGTGCCCGCGAGGCCGTGTTTACGCTACCTACTACAACCTGACGCCCTCCAACCCACCCGCTTAATATACCAATTTTTAGGTAAATTAGCGGAAAGAAAGAAATCTACAGAAGGCATATGGGGATAACATTTTTCTTATAAAACTAGCGCTTCTGAAAAACAAGAGGAAAATGCACTTGTTCGCAGAACATTAAAATCCATGGAATAACTCATCAGTGGGACTTTCATCAACATTTTGAAAAGCTCTTATTCCTGATTTTACTAACCCATAACAGTTGGCAGGACATAGTGAAATTGAAGACTTGTTCACAATCACTATCATGGAGGAGTTTTATGAACCATCCTTGTTCTTGAGATTACTCGGAGAGGACACTAGCTTAGTAGCTTTAACAGTGAGACATCTGTAAGAACTTAGTCATCATATCACATTACAGTGTAAAGGAAGCGGGAAAAAAAAAAGAAAAGAAAACCTCAAATAGCTGCTTAACAAATATCTTAAGGAAAGTAGAAGCAACCTATTGAATCCCTTGACTAAAAATGAATAACAATACAGACCTTTTGGCTCCTGTGCACACCATTTTTCCTGAGCTGAAGATGAGAGCTGTAGTTCGGGGCTCCCTGATCCTCATGATGACAGCAGCAAAACGTTTTGGGTTGTACTCTGCATTTCTTGCCCGAAGAGCAATAGTTTTGAGATCTAGTTTGGTGGCTAAGCTAACTGTACATACAATATTTCTGAAACATAAAAAAAAACCTCAGTAATGAAATCAGAACAGAAAAATTCTTTAGCTTTTCATCTCTTCCTTTCACTTAACACATAGCTTTGTAACTTTTTTGCCCTGACAAACAAAAACATCTCGCTTTAAAAACACAGTGCTCATCATTTGTAATTAAAAACAATGAACTTCAGGCTTTAAACACTTTAAGCAGGTTGAACCCCCCTCCCCCCCCATTAACTCCCACCTTGAAAGCTGTTTTTTTGTTTCATATTTAGAGGGACCCCTCCCCAGAAAAAAGTCTAGCCTTATACCTTGTTGATCAGTCTAAGAGTTTACTAAGACTCAGGCACTCATCCACTCCATCATAACCTTTAACTAAAAAGAAACACCATTGAAGACATTACACTAAATATCACATAATTCCATGCTTAAGTTACTGCAAGGAATTCACCTGCTGTTGTCTCTTATATTAGGAAGACAGGCATCATTGTAAATTGTACTCAATCAAAATGTTATTTCATCAATTGGGCATTTTGTACATTAACCTCTCTCTAGAAAAAAAAATTGAGACACCCGCACAAATTAGTCTGCAGGCACAGACACAATAAAACTACACATACTGAAGTGTTGGACAGATTCCGGAACCTTCTGAAGCTGGTGTAGCTGGAGAAAATGGAGTCATGGGTCCCCCCACTGGATTTGGGGTGCCAGGGTAGAGACTAGCCGTGGACGGGGGCAGCACAGGGTTGAACCCCATGCCTGGAGACAGCAGAGGGCTCTAGAAACAAAAAAGTCGTGAGTCAAAATGAAAAATGAAAAACTGTTAAAAACAACATAACTATAATCTGACTTTAAATACTTCAATATATATTTCCACTTACAGAACAGACGTTGAATTGCTAAGAATACATAACTTAGTAGATTTTTAACAAAATAAAATGATAATTTAATAATCATTTCATGAAAGTAGAGCGCAGTGGTAGTATTAAAAATTTTTTAAGGGTAGATTCTAATAGAAAATTTAACAGCCACGGGCTGACTCAGCTGGAAATTGACATCATATCAGGACAATATTATGAAAAACAAAAGATGGTCTTTCATTGTTTTAGTAGGCATTTTACAGCACATGAAACACAATTACGTCATATAATGCTGAGGATAAGGGGTGTTACTAAGGGAAGAGGAGAAAGCAAATCACATCAGAGTATCCGCCAACTACTCACAAAGATGGTATTTAAATCTGTGTGGAGTTCACAAATTCTGAACAAACCTGTATTGACTGTGGTTGTGGTGTCAAACCAGAACCAAATGAAGGGTACTGGTTATCCATAGTGAACTGGATCCCTCAGAGTTGCTACAAGCAGAGACTAGCGGTGTGACAAGAAGTCAGAGGAATCAAATCACGAGCAAAAACGTCTGCTCGTTGAATGGAATGCTACTTGCATCAAATCAGCACATAAACACTTTCTGAGTGTCAGCCATGCAGGTTTATCATGGTTCTCTCACATCCTGAGCTGCACAAAGAAAAAAACAAAACAAAAAAAACATTAAAGACACTTTTCCCCCCACATCTTGAGCAGCACCATGACTAAAAGGAAATACAGTTGAACCTGCCTTGATGGAAACCTGTCATAATGGAATCTCCCCACTCCCCCAATATACTTTCATATTGTTTTATCCAATGTGTATGTTGTGTGATTTGTGTGTGCTTAGAGACAGAGAGAATAGATCGTTGTGAGGCTATGGAGATTTTTGTTTATAATGTAACTACATGTACAAAATCATAGTAAAGTCTACTTCTAACAAACTCAACCGATAAAGCTATCCTCATATCATTTTATCCAATGTGTATGTTGTGTGATTTGTGTGTGTGTAACATGCTAAGTACTAAATATATTTAGAGGCTATTCACACGTGCATATGCATGATGTGTGTGTGTGTGTCCCTCTCTCTCTCTCCCCTCTCTCTCCCCTCTCTCTCTCTGTGTTTATGTATTTTTGTGTGTTATTGTAAGTGTGGTGTTTGTAAATATAGTATTAATGGGTGGTTGGTGGGTGCTCTGGTGTGGTCTGCTCCTTCTCTCCCATTCAACATCTATCATCCTTATCTTTCTCTTCCTTCTTTTTGTGTTTGTTACTCTCTTGTAACACTAACATCTCTAATCTTCGGCACTTATATATAAACTTATTTTGTTGCAAGTGCTAACTCTTTCGAAAACAAAAGATAGTTTAAGGTATGAACAGGGCACTCTGGCGGCAAGCGTACGTGTATGCGTGGCACCGAAGCTCGATCTACTTTCGCTTTCTTTACCACCCAGAAATGTGCTGGTAGCAGTCTGATTAACGCAACTTTTGTAACATACAGGTTGTGCATTACAAACGCTATGTCGCCAGGAAAATAAATCATTGTCCAGTGCTTTCACTTGTGAAATAAAAAGAAAGTTATACAAGCGTCTTGTCGGGCTCGACTCGTGACCGGTCAGTGAACCTGTACTTTCACGTCACATTGTTGTGAGTATCAGTGATCGCATGGGGTCACCAAAGTTCATTCAACGTGTGCGCTGCGCGAAGTATAGGGCTCCGGAATAGGGGGATTATTGATTTTTTAAAAAGGTACAGTCGGGGGGAGGGGTGGGGTTGAAGGCAACATCGGATGACAAAAACTGAACTTGGAAGCAAATTTTAGTATTTAGAATTTTGATTATTACTAGAGCTTCCTGCTACGGAAAAGCATGCATTGGTGCAAGCCCTGTACGGAATTGGGATCCGTCATATTCATACCTAGTAGGCCGCGTTTTTTAACCAAAAGGTCCGCGTTTCATTGGATGGGTGATAGTCAAGGATCCCCTTGTTTCTTTGTCCTTTGTTTTAAGAGAGGTATGACCTCATCAAGAGCATACTTTTTAAAATTCTCTCTCTCTCTCTCACTCGATCTCTCTCTCTCTCTTCCTTTCGCTCCCTCTGTTTTCTGAGTCTCGTTCTCTCTCTCTCTCTCGTGATTACATGTTTTGTAAACATCTATATTTTAGCTTTCTGTTCCAGATTCGCAGATTTTCAAAGTCACTTCAGTTTGCTCTCCCTTAGGGAAAGATGACAGGGGGTAGATTGGGGTCATTTTTGGATTTACATTCCGCTCACAATACACAAACAGCGAAGTGAAAAAGGAAAAAGGTCAAGGTCATGAATGAAGGGAGCGACGCAGTTACCGTGCACCTAGCTCAAGCGCCCCCCCGAAACAAAACACGCACCCGGTTACCGTGTTCGTAGATAATGAGGCTACGCGCCCGGTTGCCGTGTATGTGACATTGAGACTACACGCCCGGTTGCTGTATACGTAGATATTGAGGCTACGTGCCCGGTTACCATGAATGTGACAATGAGACTACACGATGAAAAAGGAAAAAAGTCAACGTCATGAAGGGAGCGAAGCAGTTACCATGCGTGCACCTAGCTCAAGTCTCCTTCTGCTCCCCCCCCTCACCCCCAGAAACTAAGTACACGGTTAGTGTTCGTAGATATTGAGGCTACGGGCACGGTTACCGTGTATGCGACATTGAGACTACACGGTGAAAAAGGAAAAATTAATGTCAACGTCAAGAAGGGAGCAAAGCAGTTACCATGTAGCTAGCTGAAGCCCCCCCCCCACGAAACTAAATACCCGCTTACCGTGTTCGTAGATAATGAGTGGCGCCCGGTTGCCGGTTACCGTGTACGTAGACCCTGAGGCTACCATACGTGCCCAGTTACCGTGTACGTAGACACTGAGGCTACGTGCCCGGTTACCATGTACGTAGACACTCCGTTTGGCTATTCTCACCCGGTGGGCGTTCACCGTAGCCTAGGCCAACCTGTGAAGCGTTCACCCTGAACCACAGAATTTTACACTGTGATAACAGAATTATAGAATTCTGTGCTGTGAACAAATGTTCTAGATCTATTACTACTGTTAGTGTTAGCCTAAAAGCGTGCAATTTTGTCTGTGGGCAGTGGAGAGAGAAAGAGAGAGAGAGAGGAGTAGCGCGAGAACTTGCGGGCAAAACAAAATGGTGACCCGCGTAGTTCGGCTCGATTCGAAAAGTGAAATAGCCATAGCATCTTTGAAGACGATCAAATTAGCTTATGTTTATGCTATAACGTAATTTTTTCTTGGCTTATAAATCAATTTGATCATCCACACCGATAGACAGTATTCCAAAATGAGGAAAAACAGGTCTTGTTTCACACCAGGTGAGAATAGCCTACGCTGGCAAGTCACCCGGGGTGAGAGGTAGATCGTATTTCTATTCTCACCCCGGGTGAGAATAGCCACTTCCCTAAGTATACAGACCCGGTAGGGGAACTCTTTGGTGAAGTTTCAGCGCCCAGGCCCGGTAGTGTGTGTGTGTTTGTGTGTGAGAGTGAGAGTGAGAGTGAGAGAGAGAGAGAGAGAGAGAGAGAGAGAGAGAGAGAGAGAGAGAGAGAGAGAGAGCAGGGGGAAGTGCTAGAAAAATGTATGACATGCCCAAGGAGCACTCGAGCGAGCACAATGCTAGATCTACCCACCAACGCAAAAGAGCTCCAATTTACTCTGTGGCAATTGACAAAAAGTCAATTGCCACCGCGTCACTCGGTGGCAATTGACACTACCATGCCATATAGATCTAGACCTAGTGTCCGTTTATATAGCGAGGAACTCCGTAACGAGCGACCGCTGTGAAACAGAAAGGGTGATAGATCTAGATCTTGTAGTATAGTGATACTGATGATAGGGCTAAGGCTAGGGGAGAGGTAAAATCGGTGATCTTGTAGTTCCGTTCGTTAAAGTTCACGATCCATTTGTTTACATCCAGAGAAGAAATCCAGAAGTCCTGAAGACCAAATACTATTTGAATTGGAAGACGCTAGCCGTACTTAATGACAGCTAGACTGGCAGTCTAGCCGTACTTATTCTTAATATGATGGCTAGACTGACCATTTACCAAAAATAGGCCTACATTTTTAGTGTGCAGTACCTAAAGTATTTGTATTTGAGACGAAACCAGGTGCCTTAATGACAGTGTATGTATTTTAAACCTCCTGTTTTCTAATGTTAATAGGGCCTAAGATAAGTACGGCTAGACTAAGTAGTCTAGCCGTACTTAAGTACGGGTAGACAGCCAGGCTAGCCGTACTTAAGGACGGCTAGACTGTCAGGCTAGCCGTACTATTGATGGCTGAATTGCAAATGAAATTTTTAGTTTGCAATGCCTAGTATTTGTATTTTAGACAAAACCAAAAGGTGCCTTACTGACTTGCATGTATTTGAACCTGAATAATTACTAGATTTAGATCTAGATCTAATATCTAGATTCTAGATCTAATGAGACCTGTGTACTTAACCCTCACCCTGCGGGAGCCGGGTTTATGTAGCCCGATAAGCCTATTTCGGCACCTCGTCTGCATTCTGGTCCCGAGTCAGTGTAGCTCCTGGCTCAGCGCACGCGCAGCGCGCATCCTCTTACGTGTCATTCGGGCCCCGAGTCGGATCCCCATTCACGCAGGTCAAGTCTGCTTGAGTTTGTGTGCGTTTGTGGCCTTCTTCTAGAACCACCTGCGTTGGTTCGTAATCGAGGCATACGTCTCATTCAAAACATGCCAAGTTGATAGCTCTAGACGTTCGTCCAATGAAATTATAGAAGAAATTGACCCACTTAGACATGAGGAGCTCGAAAGGATAGTCAGGAAACAAGACTTCCATTTTTCTATACAAAATATTTCAAATGAGCTTGATTTTGTATGAAATGATACTACCTGATAAAAAATGAACTTGTTTGATAGTTTTGAATACCCTTGTGCAGGTACAAAGAACAATTTGAGTGTAAAACATTCGGAAATTGACCTAAATTATCCCCTTTCGAACCTCAGGTCATTCATAACAACAAGAGCGCCCAGAAAGGTTATTCAAATGGGCGTAACTACTCGTAATGTTTTATCAGCTTGTGAGAGGGGGTTATTCATGTGTTTGTAACAGAGCTTTTGCCAAAAGGTGGGGGTGTTTGCTTAAGGACTTTTTAAATCAACCACTACTCATAGTAAAATATGTTTTCTTCTGAAAACTTTATGCATGCATATGGCAAGGAAATAAGTTGGTCAAGCTGCATGAGCAAGTAGATTGATGTGTGCATCTTATATCTCTACATAGAAAGATAATTATCATAATAGTACTAAAAATAGGGCATTTTTTACTCATCCTGAGTTGCACACGTAATTGTATGTTAAATACAGAATATTGTTAATCTTAAACTATCAAACAGTAGTCCATTCAAACATTGAAAATAGTTTGTATACACCATCATAACAGCGTGTGTCCATTAAAAGGGTTTTATTTTTTTATATTAATGATGTTATTGCTGAGTAAAATTTATAAGTTCGTTCATAACTCGTGTCATAATTACATCATCAGACTTTCCAAGGTCTAGAAAACCCAAATCGTTAACATATCATCCCGGGGAATGACCGGTATTAAACATTGGTTTGACATTGATCCATCAGAAGGG